ACAAGAAGAAAAGATATTTTTTTTGATACTTTCCTGTCATTGAATCTATGTATCCGATGAGGTAGTTTGATGGGGTATTTTTATGCTCCCTGCCCACTGTGTCCATTTAACTAATATCTGTTCCAGTGCAGCGCGATGGTGAGTCTTCTAACTAGGCGGTCACATAGTAAAATGATCGGTGAACATTTGATCAGTGCGTAGAATTACACAACATAAGGCTGTTTAGCCTCCACAGACCTATCATTTTTAGCAACAGTTGTAGAACATTGACATGAATTCATATAGTTTAGGACCAGACAGCAGTAATGGGTTCCGTAATATAGTGGAAGCCTTTCAGCTTTCTCGTCAATGATACTAAAATGTGTAGTTCTTTGTTGAAACTGCCAAAATGAACAAGAATAAACATTAAAATGTTTATTCAACGTATCTATGTAACCTAGCATGAGAATGCTTATAAAGATATATAAATGAAACAGAATATTTTCGCTGCTTGTCGAGTTCATCTTTCTATCCTGATAACAACAATTTGCTTCAGTAATTTCCTTTAGTCAATCAGACTATTCAGTAATTGATACAGCTAATAAACTCAAGGAAACATGTTCATTAAAATTTCAAAAATTTTTATTTAAACCAGGATCTCCATTTTTATAATGTAGCAAATACATCTAAATCTGCGCTGACCTCTTTGAAAGCTGTATGATCAAATCTGTCAGGATTAATTAAACATTATTCCATCTGTTAAAATGAATTTTGAATGAATATATGCTAACAACAAACTAAGCAAACTAGCTAACAATAATCTTGCTGCTCATAAAAAGAATTTCCAGGTCATGTCTATATGGAGAATCATTCATGGCCAGATATTTACTTGAGGAGAAGTTTAAAATTACGAACCTGACTAGTGAATTCATTCACATTTATATGGTTTGACCCATACATATTACATCTAAAACATCTGTATAACTTATCTTGACAAATATTGCATGTGAGTGACAAAATATACACGTCTGAATACAATACTAACTTTGATAGGTGCTCCTTGCAAACTATAAATTTTTGTGGGAACAGAATAAATCAAAAGCGAACGATATATTTACTAAGACTTATTCTTAGTTTTCTCATTTTACTGGAAAGAACAATATCTGCAACTAGAGTGTAGGCCTTGATAAATGATTCGGCGTACACCTTCAAAGCCATTGAGATCCCCAAGCATTAGGCATTTATTTTGAAACATGATTCTTAAAAGTGTAAAATGTCCAAGGATAAGCTGTAAAACCGTTTTGAAACTTTGAAACCAAATTTACTGGTAGTAAAATCTGGACGGTATGTTGCTATGAAGTAAATGAACGTGAAAAAAGTGGACTAGTAAATTCTAAATGTGTTTCTTATTAAATGATATTGATTCATGACTAAAGGAACATCTTGATCAATTTTCACTGAAAGTTTTGATGGTTTGAAGATTCAAAATACCTTTGCATAGATGTTAAAAGTACTTACTTATTTATTTCATGGTAACTTAAATGATGTAATTTGGTGTAAAAAACGTTTCAACTTCGTAGGTGCTTATTGCAATCCAATTGAAAGGTAATTACTGATATAAATCAAATAACCTGTTTACAACAACTGTCTATGTAAGCTGTAAAACAATAGTTTGAGGGAGTATAAAAAAGTGAATATTCAATAAATTAATAGTCATCACTTTACTTGAATGAATTTCCTAACTTAGGTAGTGATCACATCGAACCGGATATTAAAATTCATAGCTGACATCCATTGTCACGATTACAAAAGTCTCATACCCTCGGACATATCGCTAAACGTATAGTTTAATATCATATACAAGCAAACATAAAAACACTGGTTCACACTTGAGTAAATACTTTGTGCTTCAGGTTATCAGTTTCGCTGATAGATTGAGCTGTCTCACTTTGTCATTCACCTCTCACTATAATATTTAAGTAATCCAATGCTAGATACTTTCAACTCTCTTCTGTGCTAAACATGTGTCAACACAATGTAAAATGAGTAGAATTCTTTTGATTGACAGATAAGGAGTGGGTTTCGTTTGATTCACTCCAATTTCTAATCATTTCTCTTCCTTTTTACCACTGTCCAAATACAACTTACTACCAGCAGGAAATACCAATAACATCCAAATAATATTTTTTCAGTTTGCTATTCATCATTAGTCAAAATCTTCCTATGTGGAGAAATAATTTACTTTGGTTTTGTTACTTGAGTGAAGGTAGATTGAGCTGGAGAGTCAAAGTCTCATATTATCTTATACTGAATTTCCGTTTTAGCATCCTTTTTGCTTTAATGAGTAGAAAATTTCTTACAAACGAAACTGTAGAACATTATTTGTAACCTTTTTAATTCACTTAACATAAGTAAGATGTTTTAGGACCTAGGAAACATTGCTTACCGTTTGTAACATGACACTAGGTGGCTGTTGATCACTAAACTAGGTCTTTGTACTTAGACCAACTTCCAAGTAATGTATTCAGCTTCAACGGACTACACATACTTCTCAGAAAGGCAATTTTTGCAACTTATCTGTGGCCTCAGTAAATCCAACTCAAGCCTGTTTACTATTATTCTCGTTTGTTAACTATTACCCAGGTAAGCTAACAGGTTGAATACTGTGAAAAAAATCACTATTGTCTGCAATTATGTATTTTGCAAAATATTAGGAGGACTATTGTTCCACTTGAAAACTTCTGTAGGCAAACTACATGTTTAAACTTATGCAACTGCTGCAAGAAACATGTAATATTTATACTGATATCTTCACGTAATCTTAGAAGTTATAGGTGATTAATCTTACTCTACAGATTAATTCTATTTCATATAATATCACACTGATATGATTAGGAGCAATAATTTATGCTCGAAACGTCATGAAGTAAATAATACTAGATCACTGTGTGTTATACATCAAATAAACAAATCTACTATGGAATTAAGTTCTACCACAGTGCCAAAGTTTTACACTTACATTACTGCAGTTTTTCACGTAAGAAGCAGACAGAATATTTTTACAAATAAACCCCACTCCCAGATGATGTATTGTTTCCTGTTTGAATTTTTTCTGATTCGGAGTGAAATTCCGCAGCATTAGTGACAGTAGAAATTCGAGACACTATCATCAACACATTTATATTGCACGGTGCAACTTACAAACGCCTTTGTTTTCTCAAGAAAAACGACTCATATGATTCAGGGAAACAGTTGTCCATTCTGAATTAAACTACTTATGAATCAATAAGTACTCAACATTGTTTAAACCAAATATTGCAGAATCATTATTATACTTTTTTCTGTTCGAAAGGAAACGTGGACTCGAACAACAAGGGAAAATCTCTCATAACCCATCATGAAAATTTATATCTATATTGAAGGTTTACACTGGTTTTCAACAGATTGGATAATTTACTTCAAAGATCAGCCTCTTAAAAATAGAAAAAACGTATTCACTTTTTACATTTAATTATTTTGATTTCGATTTCTGTGCAAAATGCGAATTACATCAAGATCAAGTGTTCTTCGATAGAAAGAAAAGCCTTTTGTCTTCGAGTGCAAACTGGTTAACTAGACTGAATTTGGAGTATTCTATTAGCATGGAATTATAACTGTCTACTCCCCTCTTGATAATATCCCTGATTACTTTTTGTTTGTGAATAATTCCTAAATAATTTCTCCAAACTTTGGATTCAGAATGTATCTAATAATTTAACTTACTATTTAACACTCTTGTTTATGTTACTGATGATCAACCTTTTATAATATCTCAAAACTATTACTTTCTGTTTACAAACAAACCATCATTAGTTTCGAATCATACTATATTTAGTTATACTTAACATCATGTATTGTGTGATCATAATGATCAGAGGAAGCATAAACGTGGAATCTCATACATTTTCTGCTTTACGGATACTAAAATAAGGGTTTTACAACCCTCAAGAAGATGTTATTCAACGAGTGGAAAACTAAGCCGCAGAAATGTACACATCTAGATTACAACTTGTCACAGTGGAATAAATTTTAATGATGAAGACATATAAGAACCACCAAGTAGCGAGCAGAATATATAGCAATCCATTTGCCGTTAAAGCTGATGTTTTCCATGTTCGAAAGAATGTTTTGAAAGTGCATGTGGTCACCTAACCGCATTCATTTGTATGTATCACATCATAGTTATAAAAACTACTGACCGAGGAAATCAGCAGAGCCTTATATGAACGCAAATCATAAAAGCATTTTGTGTGATATCCAAAACACTGAAACATATCTGCGATCCTTCTAAAGTGACCTTAAAGTATTTATTATATACAGTTAAATGTAGATAACAGATTTTCTAGGTTGAGATATGAAATCTCTATTGAATAGTTAGATCTAATGACGAAGAATTATCTATTGCGATTGTCTCTGCCAGTCGAACATCACGTATGTAAGTGACGTGTTTTGAAAAATTTTAGTTGCATCCTTCTCTGATAAAGTTAATTGTTGCGGCTAATATTCTGCGGTGACCTAATAATGAAAAGAACTCAAATTGGTCACTAAACAACTTATATCTGCAAGCCTACTGAAATCAAATTAGAGTAGTTAAAATGTACTTACTAAAGTATGATAAGATAGCGACTTCCTTTTGATTTCGGAACAGTTGAAATTCCAATGAAATGCGTGATCATACTTGTTTTCTGTATTGTGAGAGAAAATGTCTTAGCATCTGTCAAAAGTCAGAAGTAATAAATCCTGATAAAAAAAATTCTACTGACCGTATAGATTACCACAAAACTGCACTTAGGATCTTAGGTAATAAAGCATGTAAATGAAAGTCTTTCTGTTTTTAATTTCCATAGAGTCTACAGAGTATTTGTGTGAACTCTATTCCTTTAAGATCTGTTTTCTGTTACCTGATGACATACATTTAGGGTAGGAGTTGATGTGAATGACATTAATCTCTGTTAAAGAGGTAGAAAATTAAACATACTCACTTAATCGAATTTCTCGGTTACGTCGTGACAGCGGTTGCCAAATGTATCCAGCTTTCTCCAAACTGTTTATTTGTTCCATAAATGTTGCGGCTAATAAGTCAGTATTCAACGGAAAAGAGGAGTTATTTTCCTCAGTAAACGTTGACAAGTAAAGTAACATGATAACATTAAGCCATGCTTTTTTTATGATAGCCAAGAGACTAGTTCCATGTTCCCATTTCATGTTTTGTTTGTGCAAATAAATATTCACTCATATGAGAGACGTTGGTTGGCTGAAAGTTAAAAGAAAACAGAAGATGTATGATAAGGCAACGGTAAGTTAATTCCAGCTGATTTATAAATAATAACAAAGTTTCCATTATTGCGATCAATTTAAGAATCAAGTATATACTATGAAATGTGAGTAGGAAAAAAGCTCACGGTATATTGATTTCCTATCAACAGAATGTAGTTGAATGTATTCTACTGTTGTTCTTTATGCTCGAAAAGCAGGGATATCGTTCTGTTGGAAGCCAATCTAACTAGATATTTCGAATCTAACTACACTGGAATTGAAATCAAAGTGCTACAAGAGCAATCTCTGACCACCTTACTGCCAAACTACACACTCACCATTTGAGATTACCTTAAATACAGGAGCACTGATCAGTTTGTGGGGTGGTCCAAAATCTTTATGCATTTAAGATATTGATTCTTAATGCACTAACAGTAGGAATATTAAACGTAACTTCAAGATTTCAAATGCGAAAAAAACTTTTAGTTTCAAATTCGATGAGAATTTCATTCATGTAAGCTTGCATGAATTCTTCTTTATTTAGTACAGATCTGACATGAGTGACTCAAATACAATATCTGAAGCAGATGATTTTTCCTACTTTTCATGTTGTCGCTTATTTTAATTGCTTGTTGATATGCAAATAACTTTGTTAAATTATGACGTATGTAACAACCACAAGAAAATGGCATATTTTATTTTTAAATTAATTGCCTACAAATGCGTCTTTTGTGTGTGAATTTTCACTTTATTGGAAAAAACAACTGAATTAATAAAATGAAATTACTGAAGTATTTACACACTTGTACACTGACGTGAAGGGCATGGTAGTAGTCAAATGCTTACTGTATATCAGTTCACTGTTGTTAACAGTTTTATTCTCAGCTTCTGTCTTACACCATAAAATGACCAACAAGTAAGTCAGGTTTATTGTGCAAGAAAATATAAGACTTTAAAATATCATTGTTACGGAGAAGAAACATACGTATACAAAACATATAAGATCATGTATATTTATCAGTTAACAAAATAAAGCACACATGAAACAAACTTTATCGATATTCTCCTTGAATTAACGTTAAATAGTTCATTTTATGCATCAATAAATGAATACACTTCGATCCATGACTACTCAATTTGTTACTCTGCCTATATTGCAAAGTACAACTATCAGTGATAAGCAAACAAATAAACACTTAATTTGGTTCTTATAAAAGTATTTTGATAGGGAATAAGTATTACAATGAAATCCTTGGTATTTGTTGTACAACGAAACCTTATATTCCGGATGTATAAAGACCGATTTTCTGCCAAAAAATATCTTTAACATCTGTTGAACTGTAAAAAATTTGACTATTCAAGTGATTGATCCACACTAATGGATACCAATTCTCATTCATTTGACAGCATATGTTAACTAGATTTTTACTGAAACCAAAGTTATGCACTGATGAATCGTCTGGTTATCTAGTCATGAGTCAGCATAGTTTGAATGAAGAGTAATAAATTATAAATTCAGTATCTCATTTCAATAAAATAGCATTTATGAGTAACCATATTGATAAACCCCTCAAATGATAATGAACGCTCTAAATCCTTATTCCATCACTTGTACTATTCCTTTAGTTCATACATTCATGTGTTTTTTTAAAATTTTATTCTTTGTTAAGTGATATTGGAATTGATGGGTGATCACCAAAAAATTTAGAGAAATTACATCCACTTAGTAGTAGTAGTGCTTGACATTCTATGACTGAAAAAATTTGTGAATTTCCTGTCATATACGGAAAGATATTACAACTGCATGTAAGTAAGTAGTCCAGCCATCAGTTTTGTACATAAAAGTGTTTTCTTTAAAAAAATTTCCAAATACGGAAAACTACTTCTCTCATATGCACAGCGAAAAGAATCTTCTTCTTTTTCTTAACATTTTTCAATTCAAGTTTCATTTTTCACGCTTCATGAAAAACCTTCTTATTTTAAGTATTTTAATTTATTTTCAATACAAACCAGTGTGCTTATTGTACAAGTACTTTTAATTGTGGCGGTTGTCTTGACTACAGAAAAGGATACGCTTCATTTCTATAGTTGACTTACTTTCTAACTACAAGTCAATTCCCAGGTGAATGAATATCAATAAAATGAATTTACAACAAATTGGCAAAGAAAATGATCATGAAATCCGATAAACGAAGAAACTTTGTTAACTGATTGCATCAAAGATGTTCATAGCATGTTCGGCTGTCTAAAACAATGAATGATGTTTTTCAGCCGCTCTATGGAAAACATGCTACATTTAGTTATAATTTTGCTTAAAAATATGTTGACAGTCAAGCAAAAAACTTACATCATATAACTACGTTACTTCCCGCTTACTTTTAAGAATATTTCCTAATAGTTAACGCCAATTAAAAACACTTATTCTCCCCAGCTCTAAGCTTATGTAGCACTTGACACTAAAGAGGTTTCTGATTGTTACTGTGTAGACGAAATCACTTGCTTCTACATTCGGTTGTACTCTGCTATTACTAAGAATGAATTTGACTACTTTCAAGACATTTTCTAAGTACCAGAATCCTTAAAGATTTCATGACTTCTTGAGAACGTATTCTAAGTTCCATTAGTAGTAATGAAAGTAGAATCATTAAAATTTATAGATAGGAATAATTATTAAGTTGAATTCATTGTCGTAGATAAAATAATATCTAAGATGTTTAGATAACTGCAAGAAAAGGCAATTGTTCACAGGTTTAATCGGTTTTTGTCAACACATTGTTATTAGTCCTACTAGCTATGGTAACTTCGCCTGGTTAACTAGTTCACTAGTTACTAGCCGGTCACAAACCTGTATAAACAGGGAAGATTGAGCATAGGGCTAGCACCCCTACCCCAGAAAACCAATCCAACCGCTAAAGCACAGACAAAGTGTAAAAAATAAAAACAAACTTATTCCTGGCTGGAATCGGGAGACAAAATGACACTGGTTGGTGAAAGACTTCGGGAAGCCAATTGGTGGATATGTCTTCTCTTGATGAAAGCAAAAGTAAATATGGGCAGATGGAATGTCCGCACTATGTTTGAAGCTGGCTGGCAAGGCTGCCCAGATTACCAAAGAGAGGAGGAGGTAGAGCGTAGAAGAGCTAAGAATATGTGAAAGCAGGTGGAATGGAAGTGAACTCTCCAAACTGTCAACTTGAGAGTCAATAATCTACCCAGACGACAAACATGAGCACACTAAGAGAGTGGATATCATGACGTACGAAAGAGCACCAAAGGCTCTCTTTAAAAAAGTGGGAAACAATCTCTTCCAGGATCAATAACGGCAAGGTTCAACTCAAAAGGACGGAAAGACACAATCATATAACGCAGCGCTACGCACGTAAAAATAATGTAGATGATGAGAAGAAGGAGGAAATATACAGACAACTGCAATGAGCACAGGGGAAGACCTCACCCAAGTTGGTGACAACAAAATTCTAATGGGCATAATGACATGAAAGCCTAACTAGGAGTGGACAACACAGGCAGAGACTTAAACATGGGTCAAGAAGCACCCCGTGAAATGAAGCAGAATAGAGAACAGTTTGCAGATTCCTGCGCATTCAACGCGTCCGTGATTGGAGGAAATGTGTAGAAACACAAGGATATCCACAAGATGACATGGATTTGATTTCACCAGACACCAAGACGAACTAAAAGTCACATCGACTTCATCTCAATCTCAAGAAAGTCAAGATGCAACCTACTCGACACAAGATTAGATCAGAAAGCGGAGCAGATGTAGGTGGTTCACACCACTCACTATCTAGTGCAAGCAACTCACCTACCTCCAAAATCAAGTTGAAGCACATCACAGAAGTTGGTGATAGACAGACCAAAGTTCAAGTTCAACAATCACCCGGAACAGAAACTGAACTGAAGGACAAAACTGTAAAGTACATCTTCACGTCAGCCGTCAAGACAAAATGGGAGGCATTGAGCAACAATCCTGAAGAAGACTGTGCTGATGAACACTGGAACTCTTTGAAAGAGATGTGGAAGGAAACCTGCATAACAGTATTAGGAAGGAAGAGGAAAGAAGACAGGACAAGGAATGCATCTCGACGGACATATGGAAGCTGATAGGGCAAGGAGAGGAAGATGGTGAGGCAGAAGATGAACCAGTGCAAGGATGCACAACGAAAAGAAGAGCTGAGTACAGCGTATGAAACACTGGACAAAGAAGTGAAGAAGAATGCACGCAAAGACAAAAGACACTTCTAAAACACATTGGTAAGTGAAGTGGAACAGGCTGCAGGAAAGTGAGACAGAGGCCTGACAACACTATATCAAATAACCGGGTTACTATCTAGGAGGGAAGAGATCAACACAGACGAAACCAATGAAAGATAGTGAAGGAGACCTAGTTAGCATCGAGGAGGAGAAACAAAGGAAACGATGAGCTGACCACTTCAAGAAACTCTTCAACCGACCACCACCACCACCTGCAATTCGTCCATAAATACCACCCACAGCCCAGCCACAGAACTACAAGTGAACACAAGCCCTCCGAAAAAAACAGAAGTGTAGTCTTGAAAGCCATAAAGTCGCTGAAAACCGGGAAAGCAGCAGGACCAAATGGAATTCCGCTAGAAGCACTGAAAACAGACTCAGAGACATAGGAAGCGGACATGCTCACACCAAACCACTACTACAGAAGGTTTGCAAGGAAGGAAAGGTACCTGTCGATTGACGTGGAGAAGGGCTACCTTGTCAAACTCCTAAGGAAAAGTGACCTCGGCCTTCGCAAGAACTGGCGAGGAATCATGCTCCTTTCCTTGTCCACTCAAACCAAGCAAAATATTATGCCGCATCATCTTGAAGGGACCAAAGGATGCGCTGGATTCAAAATTACGACCGGAACTGGCTGGCTTGCTGGCTTCAGGAAGCACAAATCATCTGCAGACCGA